CCAAACGAAAACTGCAGGCCGCTCTGCCAATTGCCATACACGACTGTCCTACTAACGACAATGGTGATCTCAATAAGAGACAACGTTATCTCAACCCATACATCACCAATGATCACGAGGATTTCAATATGCTAAAGATGGAAGAAGATATAGAATCTCTCGATTCCTTCTCCATTGAACAGCCAATGCACATGAAACAAGGGGCCCACGTTCCCCTGCGTCTCTGACGACCAACATGAAGCTGCTATCCTGGAATTGCCAAGGATTAGAATCGCCTATGAAAAAATCCAGGTTAAAAGAACTCTGTCGCAACCACTCTCCGGATCTGCTTTTCTTAGCAGAGACCATGAACAACTGCGACATAGTTAGAGATGTTTGTCGACTTCTAGGATTTGATTATGTATTTTCTGTAACTCCTCAAGGACATAGTAGGGGAATCGCTATCTTTTGGAAAAAAGATCTATGTATTTCTCAATTGTATCATTCAAATAGAATGATTGATGTATCTATTCAATACAATGGATTGTTTTTCTACTTGTCATGCGTATACGGAGACCCAAATCAATCAACTAGGAAAGAACTTTGGAAAAGAATCAAAAATATGAATAAAACGAGACGTGATCCTTGGTTGCTTATTGGAGATTTTAACGATATATTATCAAACAATGAAAAACAAGGAGGACCTCAACGAAGTGAAAGAAGTTTTCATAACTTTAGATACATGTTTAACTCTTGCAATTTCTCGGATCTTAGACATGAAGGGAATCGGTTTTCGTGGAGGGGAACCAAAGGTAAACACAAAGAAAATGTTGTCTAGATCGCGCGGTGGCCAACTCAGAATGGCTGGCAACTTTTCCGGGATCCTGTGTTGCGTTCAAAGGCTTTTGTGCATCTGACCGTCGACCATTGCTTACAAAAGTTGCTTATGTAGACAAAGCTATAAAGAAACCGTTTCAATTTGATAAAAGGTTACTTCAACATCCTGAGTTTAAACAACATCTCCGCAGTTATTGGAAGTACTCTAAAAACAGAGCCGATTCGGATTTCCTCGCTAAAATAAATGCTGCTAAAGACGTCATGGCCAAATGTAGAAGAAAGTTTAAGACAAACTCTGCAAAACAAATCGAATCACTACCATTATAGCTTGACTTTGTCTTAACTAACGATGATACACCCCATTGCATTCCTCAGATTCGCCAAGATTTAGCTCAAGCGTACCAACAAGAAGAAACGTACTGGCAAATTAAAAGCAGGAACTCATGGTTAGCTGAAGGTGATCAAAATACTCGATTCTATCATGCTGTTACAAAGGCTAGATACTCAAAAAACAGAATCAACACAATTAAAGATTCTATTGGAAATATCTATACTAGGGATCGTGACATTGGACGTCATGCGGAAGCCTATTTTCAAACCACGTACTCCAGTGATCAAAATAACATCTCCACCTCGATTTTTGAAGACTTTCAACCCTCTGTTACACCTCAGATCAACCATTCCCTTACTAGAGATATCTCACCCGATGAAGTCTATCAAGCTGTTTGTTCTATTGGGGCTGATAAAGCACCATGCCCGGATGGCATTACTGCACGTTTCTACCAAGAATGCTGGGACATTGTTGGCTCGTCTGTTATCTCTGAAATCATCCAGTTCTTTGATACAGGCATAATGAAAAATTCATACAATCATACTAATATTTGTATGATACCAAAGACCAAAACACCCGTTACTCGTACCGACTACTGACCAATTGCATTATGGAATGTTTTCTATAAAATCATTTCAAAAATACTAGTCTCACGACTAAAAATCTTTTTGAATGAAATTATCTCTGAGTCTCAAGCTGCCTTTGTCCCTGGACGGCTAATGTCTGATAATGTTCTTGTTGCTCATGAACTAATGCACTCATTAAAAAGTCATAAAAGGGTTTCTCAAACTTATATGGCAATCAAAACGGACATAACAAAAGCGTATGATCGCGTCGAATGGAATTTCCTGGAGAAGACCATGGTCGCGTTTGGCTTTAATGATCGATGGATCCAATGGGTAATGACAACCGTCCGTTCCGTCAGTTACTCGGTTCTAATAAATGGATGCCCAAAAGGTTTTATTACACCAGAGAGAGGACTAAGACAGGGAGATCCTTTATCTCCATATCTCTTCATACTCTGTGCAGATGTGCTGAGCAATTTGATACAATTAAATGTCCAGAAGAGGAAAATCAACGGAATTAAAATTGGCAATAATGTCCCCCGAGTCACACATCTCCTCTTTGCTGATGACTCTTTGTTTTTCTGTCAAGCTAATGAAACGAATGTTTATGCACTCCGTGATACTTTCAAATTATATGAGGATTGTTCCGGTCAGTAAATAAATCAATCCAAATCGATGATTACTTTTGGATCTCGCATTAGGGGAGGTAAACCAAACCGTTTAAAGGCTATTTTGGGGATCCAAAACCATAAAGGCAGTGGAAAATATTTAGGCCTCCCTGAACAGTTCGGACGCAAAAAAGTAGAAATGTTTCAACATTATAAGCATAGTCAAAAACAGAACTTCTTCTTGGAGCGCTAAATTACTATCACATGCAGGAAAAGAAGTACTTCTCAAATCAGTGGCACTTTCCATGCCAGTTTACTCTATGTCTTGTTTCAAATTAACTAAACATGTAACATCAGAGCTGACCAGTATTCTATCGCAATTTTGGTGGGAAAAAAATAAGGATTCAAAAGGCATCCCATGGATTGCCTGGAAACGATTACAATATCATAAAAAAGATGGTGGCCTTGGTTTTTAAGATCTAGAAAAGTTTAATGATGCTTTATTAGCAAAGCAAGCATGGCGTTTACTTAAGGACCCCACCTGCTTATTTTCTAGAATCTTCAAGGCACGATACTATAATGATTCCCATCTTTTTGATGCAAAGGCACTCCCATACCAATCATATGGTTGGGCGTCCATACTCTGCGGAATCAAACTAATCAAACAGGGATCCCGTTCTATCATTGGGAATGGCAAAGGTACACCCATCTTTAAAGACAATTGGATACCCACATCCCCTCCTCGACCAGGATACACAGATCAAGTTCACAATGATGCCTTTGTCTCTGATCTTATTTCAACATATGGCACACATAAGTCCTGGAACTTAAATGCCCTATCAACCCACCTCACCCCAGAAGATAAAGACTTGGTACAAACTATATTCCTTAGTCAAAAATCCAAAGAAGATTCTATCATTTGGAATTGTACAAAAAGTGTTACTTATTCGGTGAAATCAGGGTACTGGTTTTTACAAAATCTACCAGACTCACGTATACATGCACCTCCTATCCCTCATGGAGACCCCATGGTTAAACAGAAAATATGGAATCTTAATATTATGCCTAAACTAAAGCATTTTTTATGGAAGATAGTATCAAAAGCGATTGCTTCTAAGTCAAGATTGAGGAGTCGACGTATTGTCATTGATGATAAATGCTCCAGATGTGGTTTAGAATCAGAAACTATCTATCATCTGTTTTTTAAATGTCCCGTTTCACCAGACACCGAATCTACCATTGCTTCCTTCCTTGATGATCAGACAGTTCCTGGAATCTCACCTACCGATAAGCTTCTCCTATTCTGGTTACTCTGAAAGATTTGGAAATCCCGTAATAAACTTATTTTCCAAAATAAGGCGATCAAAATAGGCAGAGATATAAACTTAGCTCTTGCAGAGGTGGCTGAATGGACTCAATATCCAGTTACCCCCTACTAACATTACTATACCAACCCCCACCATATATTGGTCCAGACCTACCGCTACCACTTTCAAATATAATTTTGATGCTGCTTTTCATCCTAGCTCACACCAATGTACAGTTGGATGGATCATACGGGATTCACTAGGAGTTTGCAAATATTGGGGATCGGCCAAGCTAGGACTGACATCCTCTGCCCTCGAAGCTGAAAGCAAAGCATTACTTTTAGCATTACAAAACGCGTGGTGTATGGGATATGAGAACGTCTGTTTCGAAGGCGATTGCAAAGTTCTGATTCACCTATTACAATACAATGATCATGATATCAGTATCCATAACTTGCTAACAGATATTAGAGCATGGATGTCAAAATACAAACATATCAACATACTCTACATTCATAGAGAGGAAAACCAAGCTGCTCATGTCCTTGCCTCCCATGGACCTCCAAATAACTATTTTTATTCTGGTTGTAACTACCCTCCACATTGGCTAACCAATACTTTATACTATGATTATATCAACTCTTAATAAATAAATATGTTTTCGTTAAAAAAAAAAAAGTAAATAAGTGGTAAAGAAAATAAACGATGGGAGACCACCAACATTAGAAATGTATTGTTTATTTATTAGGTTTTAAGTTACGAAATCAACTTGTTGGTCTGCCACGCATACGGTGTCGGCGACTCTCCAACTCTTTATCCTCCTCTACTCCGTAAAAAGCTCTATGTCATATGCATTTTCATGAGATCCACTGGAATGAATAACTCTACATCCATTTGAATAGTAGTTATGCTATTTTGGTATTGGCTCTGCTGAAACTAAAACAAATCAATTTTAATAAAGTTGTTCCATAAAGAATATAGATAAAAGATATTATAACTAATGGACACAGTACCGTGGACTAAGTGTACAAAGATTTTTGATTGAAATAGAGAAGTTTACTTATGTTATGACAAAGATTTGTGGACTAAGAGCCCTATTCAAATAACAGTGGACAAAAAGCGATATGGACAAAGAACGGTGGACAAAAAGAGATGTGGACAAAGAACTGTCGACAAAAAATCGTGGACAAAGAACTGTGGACAAAGAACGGTGGACAAAGAGAGCCGTGGACAAAGAACCTTGGACAAAGAGAACTATGGACAAAGAAAGCTGTGGACAAAGAACCGTGAACAAATTAGTACACTTACCAATTTGGTGAGTTTAACTCGCATGATGAGTTTGCGGATTATTTAGTGGCTATACTTTTTTTCTTCAAGAAGGCGGCTGAGAAACCCGGAGGCCATACCTGTCTTTACAAGCCAAATTAGTACCTTGAAAGTTAAATCGAAGCTTAAAGTTTCATCACAAGTCAAGTCCTGAAACAAATCTTCTTCGATAGCTAAATGACTGCATAAATATAACAACAAATGTAAGAACCATCTCTTACCGTAGGATCTGCATCAGCAACAGAAGCTGAGTCTACTAAGAAACCTTTAACTCTATGCATCAATGATGAATCTTGCTTCTGAAACTTTTCCAAAAACGGCCCTATATCTGTATTGCAATGCTTGTGGAACCGCCATGTAAACATATGAAAAAAGAATTAGAGATATTTGAAGAGAACCATGGACAAAGAACCAATCTACATAGAGAGTTGTGAACAGAGAACCGTGGAAGGACAACGGTGGTCATGGGGAATTATTTGGTTCTTACATCTCATGACAGCGGCGGAACATCAATGGTGTTCGTTGGGATTCTGCAAATAATTTCTGGCAATTGAAGATTACAAAGACTTGATTGTGATTTCCTGAGATAGTCTCCGTCAAAATTTAGTTCGGATTAGGTGCTTACATTCCATACATCTCACAACCACGGCAGAGCTACCCATCCTTTCACCACTTTTTACAGCTTCCGTTACACCGGAAACACGTAATTAAGTCCATCGCCATCATCACGAGCACCAATCGGAGATGCCCAAGAATATCCTTTAACGACGAGGCTCTAAAATTGCTAGGTCAATATCTCGAGAGGATTTGTCTTCCAGGAGGAGTTCGCAAACATACGATTAGTAGAGGAAGGTACTTTTGGAGAGCTGATTTCTGGGATTCCGAGAAAGAAGACTGGAGGATGCGGCAGTGATTGAGTTCTCAGGCGGCATTATAGGAGGAGAAGGAGGAGGATTGAGAGTGAGAAGATCGTAAGTGGTGGAGGTAAGCTTGACGATGTGGTGGCCAAATGTGGAGCCATCAGTAAGGTGGGGGAAATCGTCGTCGTGATTCAAGAGGTTCGATGAGACACAAACCATCATCATCAAAGCGATTGGATTTTTTTTTTCATGAGATTGGCGATGGCGGAGGAAATACGTTTTTATTGGAAGTAGTCACCAATTGTCTGACGAGTATTAAAAATATGTTGCTGTAATTTTTAAGTTTTTACAAAATGTTTAATTTGAAAGTAAATAATGACAAAGGACAAAATAGATATTACACACCGTCAACGTGTGTGGGTTTCATAAAGTGTCTAAAATGTAATGAGTTTTATAAAAAAGTGTTTCTAGATATAATATTTTCTACAAAAAAATGTACTTTTTAAAATTGAGGCACTTTTGCAATTGAATTGACAATTGTGTTCTTGTGTCTAAGTGATGAAAATCGATTCGCGTTTACACGTTGGTGTCTATTCATTGTCACTATCATTTAATGTCCATCAAATCATATTATAACTATCACTTACTAACAATTTGTATCTATCGAGTTGTGTTCATCAGACTGCGTCCACGCGTTGGTGTCCATCTATTATCACTATCACTTAGTGTCCATCAAACCATATTGTAACTATCACTTAGTAACAACTTGTATCCATCGATATGTGTCTATCAAACCGAGTCCATCAAATTTTGTCCGACGAGAAGGGTATTTTCAGGTATTCAAGTGAAATAGATAGGAAGAAAGATGAAAAAGTGCCTTAGTTACAAAAAGTGCCTCTTTTTGTAATTGATAATTCAAAAAGTGCATCTGATCGTAAATAACTCCAAAGTAAAACCTAGCTTACAAGTAAGTCTAGAACCTTCTAGAAGATGAGCTTATGACCTTATAATGGGCATCACATAATATTTCATAACACTCCCCCTTGATGTTCATTATACAATCTATTCTCTAAAGTGCGTAGGATGCTGCCTTGTTAAAAACCTTTAGGAAAACTCAGTGGGAAAAATCATAGCTAAGGGAAAAAGAGTGCATTGCGCATTAACTCCCCCTCATGACTACATCACTTGGGATCTTTGAGATAATGCAATCCAATATGATAAAATAACTTCTTTGAAAGTAACGCCTTGGTAAACATGTCTGTCGAATCTTCACTAGAATGAATTATGATACATACATCGTCAATCTTCGGTAGTGCATGACTCTTGCTAATGATTCGTCTTGATCATTCTATTTATGTGACCTTATTAAAGTATGATCTTTGGAGGGGTGATAAACTTTTCATCTTTATATTTCTCTTTAGATGTCTATCATTTGTGTGTTCTTTGTTGCCTTCTTAAAACTTTTCATGGAAAAACCAATGAGATGTAATACATGATAAAGAAAAAGAGTACAACTGCACACATCATCATATTTCTCCCCCTTGGAAGTATCTTCTTCAAGGGATACATTCCAATTATATATACCATCTTTTGGCAGTCATTATAAGTATAAGCTCAACACATAAACTTATATGATTATCTTATAATCTCTTATGTTGTTGGACTTTTTGTCCATAACAACTTTATTCATATAAACAACAAACATTTCTTGATCTTTTGAACATCAAGTCCAAACTTCATTTTATATTCAACAATCTAAATTCATGCTCTTCTTTACTACTTTAACTTTCTTCCTTATTATACTAAATCACATCTTTCAATCATAAAATAGATAAATACATTGCTTAACTAGCAATTTAAATATTGTACTTCAGGAACAAAAATATTGTAAGCATTTTCTTATGTAATATTCTACAAGGATCTTTTGAGATAATCTATTACTTAAATATTTCAATTTCGAACACTTAGAGACAATGTCGTCTTTCCGAAGATTTGTCTTCCAAGTTACAACTTGAGATAACTCCTCAAGAGTATTGATTATATTCAACTCTATGATCCTATTAATCCACAATCCTTTGATAAATACATATGGGTATATTGGTTAACCTTATAATATTCAAGTATACCACATAAAACCTTTTTTGTCTTAATTTGATCAAATCATTGGAATTTTTAGGAACATAATTTTGACAATCTTAATCCTTCAGGAATTTGTATCCTTCAAGATATTCTCCTTCTGGGATTTTTATTTAAGTATCATTATCCAGTGGGTAGAATAAGTCAAGTTCTTCTCTTATTGCTAGATTGATAAGGAAATTGAAAGTAGTTGCATTCACCACAGAAGAGTTTGTCTCTTCATATATATCATTTTTTCATATGAAGTCTTCTTTATATCCCACTGGTTTTACACCCTTAAGTGTATGGACAACTGGTCCAAATACTCATATCTTTCCAAGATATTTTAACTTTCTGACTATTGCTTCATTATAGTTTAGCTAATGATTTCTTTGTGTACACTTTACAATAGTTTTCGTGTTCCTCTTTCTCATCAACTGCTACATTGCATGCAAAAGTATTTACGACGTCAATTTACTTTTCGGTTCTATTTTATTCTACACATGACATAACTTGTTGAGATCGATCAATTTATTGTTTCAAATACCTGAATTTCTTTCTTTTCATGTTTAATGTCTCTTCTTGAGATCATTCAAAAACCTATCTTCTCAGTCTGATCATTGTCAAATTTTGCTCCCTTGCTTTTCTGAGGATTCTTTTGTTTATAACCAATAAGTCTAACACACTTCATGCGATCTTTAGACTAAAGTAGCTCTTAATTATCCTTTTGGAACATTAAATTTATTGGAGCCTTTATAGCTGGTATGTGACTTTGTCTGGATCAGTAAATGTTTCTGGCAACTGATTTACTAGACTTTATAAATAAATTATCTTTTGGACTTATAATTCAAATGCTTTAGTCTGAGGATCAATGATAATCTATTCTAACTTATCTTTTCCAGCTATTTATTTTCTCCCCCTAATGTTAAAAAACTGACATATTAAAATGTCAGTTGATATCTCTTGTATTTACACTATTTAGGCCTGCATTTAGTACATGTTTTGGTTCTCTTTTGCATGTTTTCCCTGAGTTTTTGTCCCATTTTCTTCTCCTTTTAGACTTAGGTTGCATTTAGGGTATAGTTTGCATTTTCCTTGCATTTTGGATGTTTTAGGTGCTTTTGGAGCTAAAAGGAGTTTGGAGGAGCTGTGGGGATGATTCAGAATGCTAGCTGGATCAAAGGGAGCAAACGGAATCAAAGCAGATAATCTCTGCAAATTTTTTCGGTCAGAGCACGGAGAACATTGATCAAGGGGTGATCGATGTAAGATTTTCGGTCAGGAGCATTGATAAACACTTTCTTAGCAAGGGTGAAAATGCAATGAGGTTATCAAACTCAAATGCAAGACATATTGTAGTACAGCAAGCAAGAGAGAGTCAATCCATGCCTAGAGTGGTAGAGAATGCAAAGAGAATACAAGGACTAATGCAAATCCAAGCAAAATGAGATGATTTATGAGAAAATCTCTAAAAACTAGATGCAGCAACTTAAATAGAATGCAACCTATTTTAAAAATATTAGGAATGAAGAAACTACCACGAGGAACAAATAGATTAATTAAAGGACCAAGCTTCGAATTACTAAAATTCGACTAGTGGATCGACCATGAGATCGACCACTAGATCGAGCAATAACAATCGATCTTGTCTAAAAATGCAAGAACTGTAAAACTAATGACCAGGATGCTATCAAAGATCAAGCGAATGACGAGATAAGATGTAAAGATGCTAAAAGAAAGGGCCTAGGGTTGAGATTCATGGTCAGGGGTTTCAAAGGTTCGACCTTGGGTTGAAAACTTTAAATCGACTCACATAATTTCATTTCATTTCATTCTTGTCTGCTAAGAGAATTATTCTTCCTCACAGCTTGCATTCGATGCTTATGATTCAATAATTCCTTCTAACAGGGCATTCACGGAACTAGTTTCCCTGGTCCCCCCGTCGGGAATGGGGGCTTCTAAACCTTGCCTTTTCCATCGCAAACTAACCTAAGTCGCACTACTGGGGATCTCTCTGGATACTCTGCCAGGCGTTGACCAGCTTGTGGCCCTACCGCGGGTGGTGAACCGGATCGAAGAATGTATGTATGAGAGGAGAGATAAAAGCACTTTGGCTTCAAAATAGAAAGAGCACAGCACCCTAACTTCAACAGAACTCTTGGGGTAGGCTAGCTACTAGTCGTCTTGTGAGGATCTCTAAGCCTTGAAAACTAAGCAAGATCTATCTGTGGCTTTCGGTATAGATCACTCCTTCATCCTCTCCTCCAAATCCATGGCTTTTGGTGGAAAGAGAGGTCGAAGGGCATGAAAAGCAGATTTCAAATGAATGGCTTAACTAATCCCCCAAACTTCCATGGCTTTTGGGAAGGGGTAACTAGTCTCTAAGGTGTGATCTTCCGAGGCTCCTGAATCCTGTCAAGGTAAGGAACCTCTCGTATCATGAAGCTCTTGGCGTGAGAGTCTTCAAGCATTGAGATCTCAACACCTTAGAAGAGATAGCCGTTGAAAACGCTTAGAAAAACCCCAAGATCGAAACCCTTTAGACCCCTTAATCCTCTCAACCTCAAACCCAACTGAACTACTCACTACACATAAAGTAAATCAAGCAAAGCATGTAAAATGAAACGATGAACATGAAAAGAAAACTAGATTAAGATGGAAATGATTCGATTACAAAGCTTAAGAAAAACTCAAGTTCGACAATGGTGTTCTTCACGAAAAACAGAGAGAAAACATACAGAAAAATATAAGGATTGAAAGTTGTCTTGGGAAAAGGACGTCGCCGCCTTCCCAAAATGGCCAAAACAAGCTGATGGTCCCCCCCTCGCTAGCGGCCAAAAGTGGTTGAAAGGACAGAGATCGACTCCAGGATCGAGCGGTTCTCTCGATCATATCCGGACATCGTGTCTTCGGCTCGATCTGGGTCTCGATCATCATCGGCGAATCGAGTGTTACATCCGATCTCGGTATCGATCTTCGGGTGGATCGAGTGGTGTACTCGATCTGGCTCTCGCTCTGCATGGCGTCATTTACGTCCGTACCGTTTGATCGACTGCTTCACTCGATCTTTGTCTCGATCATTCTCCTTGGATCGCCTGGTTGGCTCGATCTTCTGGTCAATCACCTCTTAGATCGACCGGCTATGCTTGATCTGCTCCTCGATCTCTGATCCTTAGCATATATCCGAGCTCCCACGAACTGCTACATCAGCCTCAACATGTCCACAAACCTCCACGACTCCAAAGCAGCCAGAAACAACCTGAATGTGATGCAAAATGCAAGGAACATGCGTATGCTGGTGCAAGAATACTCTAGGA